TTCCAGGACCTTGCGTGTATGAGCCCATCTTACCAGTTAGTGCTCAGGGTGGCTCTTGAGCAACGCCAGTGGGATGATTTGAGAAGCTAGGTGCACCGCCCAGAGGCGGCGTGGCTCTGGCCTTGACAAGTGTGGCGCGGGCCCCAAAGGGGCTGGCCCAGTTTCTGCCGCCACCGGCCCTCCGCGCAGGCTGTCGGCCTTCCTGTTGTCAGCCAGCACACTGGGTGGCCTCAGAGTGTCTCAGCGGGGTGTCTTGGCAGCGGCTCTCTGCTCTGTATTGACAGCTCTTTCCTGGATTGTGGAGTCAGTGGGTCCCTAATGCGGTGTTTGAGCTCTGCGTGGCTGTGCGGTATGCCTGTCCCCAGCCCCACACCCTGTTCCTACTTGGTGGTGCGTGTTCTCGCCCCCCAAGGTGAGGATTTCTTGGAAGATGTTGCGAAAGGAACTGAGTCACGTTGGTTTTGTTGGTGTTCATTGAGGCGAAGGAGCCGTGGGGACAGCTGACTTTCCCTGGTGTGGCTGCTGTACACCGTGGACTCACCCGGAAACCTCTAAGACCGTCAGAGCTCGAGCTGGTTGGTAGCATCTGTGGAATGTTAAGGAAGGTGTTGTGTTTCAAAGAGCCCCATATATCTCTCTCCCTAGACAGCTTGTCCTCCGACCTCATCCCAGCCTAAAGCAGAGGGTCGTCCCAGAAATGCCCTGTGGTGCATCTCACTCCCCCGTTGCCGGTCTCTCTCTCCTTCACAAGACACCGGTGGCGTGTGTGGTGCAGAGATGCGCCATTTGGTGAGTTAGCGGGTCCTGCGTGCTGGGAAGTGCTCTGGTGAAGCTTCTCGGCCTTTTGGCTAAGATCAAGTGTGGAGGTGCTGCGGAGAATTTGAATCTGGGTGGCAAAGTCATTGTTCCTGGGCTCTTTAAATCTGGCAAAGCTCTGCTGCTGCCCGTCAGGTGGCCTGTGCTTCATGAGAGGAGAAGAGGCAAGCCATCTGGTTGGGGGCTGGAGACAGGGCCTGATCGCGGTCTCCGCACCGCCTGTCCGCAGGCATCTGCTTCCAGACTGGGGCCCGGAGCCTCCCAGCAGCTCAGTTCGCTTCCCTCACTTCCGAGCTGAGCAGAAGCCTGGCCCCACTTTCGGCCCTTGGCTGTGTGATTCTGGACTTTCGGGGAGCGTGGCAGCAAGAGAGGCGCATGTAGCTCCAAGCTGTTCCCAGGTGCTCTGCTCATTGTCTCACAGGCCGCGCTGGGTGTGGACAGAGTTGGCCCAGCGTGGATGTGGGGAGGACCCCAGGCGGTCGGAGCTGCAGGGTCTGGCCAGTTGGGGTCACGCCGGTTGCTTTCTCAGCAGCCCTTGTGAAAGGCACGCAGTGGTCAAGAGTTATCTCCTACTTAGTTTTTCTCTTTTTTCATTTTGCCACAAGACAGAATTGTATCACACATTTCCAAAACGAGTAAAATGGCATTTCAGCTTCTTGTCTTTATAGACTCTCTGAACTTTAGGAAAGATCATTCTGGTCCCTCTTCATTAATAATGAAAACCAGGGGGCAATAAAATGTTCTCAACGAGCAAGACACGAGACGCCGTGCAGGGGTGAAGGGCGCGGCTGGCAGGGAGCCACAGGTGTTCCTTGGTGTGTGAGGAGCTCGGGGCTCGGAGAGGTGGGTTCAGCTCTCGGCGAGGACCAGCCTCCCAGACCCCACACTGCCGCCCCTATTCGGCCTTGGCCACTTGGTACCGAAGGAGAGGCTGCGCTTCTCGTGGCATGGCGCGTTTGCAGGAAGGAAGGGTCTGGCGCACTCTGTGTTCGGTCCAGTTTTTAGTTGCAGCTGTTTTTTTGTAAGATATTTCACGGGTATTTCAGACGCCAGTGGTGAATATGATACTCTGGACGGGTGCCCATCTTGAAGATGCTTTCTCCAAGGGTGGTGGCTGCACAGACGGATGTTCTGAGGGGGACGAAAGCCCTCTTTGATGGTGACTGTCTGGAGTTGCTCAGGGTCTTCACTTCTTCCTCCTAAGATTGAACTTGCAGGTGATGTTGGATCTTGCAACAAGGCAGCCCGAGCAGAGGAGGCCCGGAGTGAACTGAGAGAGGGGCGTGCCGGGGACTCAGCCTCCGGGCTCCACCAAACCAGCGTTTGTAGCTTGTCACATAGGTCTGTGTCGGGTGGCATGTTACTACAGGTCAGAGCAGCAGAGCGCCCTTCCAGAGACGGCTTCTCAGGAGGGACTCTGAGTGTCACTGCGCAGCCTTGGGAGGGCGTGCGGACGTCCTGCCTCGCTGCAACCCAAACCGGCGCCATAAAAATAGATTGATACATTTATATAAAAGTGAAAAACACCAGTATGCCACAGAGGCCATAAAGCAGAGTCAAAAGAAAAATAAATGGAAAGAATGTTGCAACTCCTGTCATGGACAAAAGGCTTGTTTCCCTGCTATATAAAAAGTTTCTATAAATTGACAAAAGAAATGGAGTAGAAGTACAGGACACTGGAAAGGAAAGACAGATGAAAAGATGCCCAGTCCTCACTCCTAATAAGATAATGCAAATCAAAACTGGAGTGAAGTGCTCTTTGCCTGCTCCTGTGTCGGCCGCAGTCTCGAGTGGGATGAACCCGTGTGCCGAGGGCAGGGCGGGGCGGGAGACGGGGCTTGCGGGAATGAGCTGATCCGACCCCCGGAGCACAGCTGCAGCGCCTCTCAGAACTGTGTGTGCTCGCACCTCTGACCTAGCCCCTAGGCCTTCGTGGTTACAGATGCGCGCTTACATACATGCGAGGTGACGTGCGCACAGTCTCGGACGGCGGGCAGCATTGTGCGAGACCATAAGACTGAACTCATCTCAACGTCCATCAGAGGGGACCTGATTAAGTGGAATATTGAGCAGCCATAGGGAAAGAAGAAGAAGAATGAAAAATAGGGGAAAGAGAGAAGGAAGATAATACGTACCTGTGTTGCCTTATATGTGCATAAAAAGTCTTCAGCTGGATAAACAAGAAACTATTAAAATTCTTCAGCTGCTGCCATTGGTGGAGGGAGCCTATTTGCAGTGGGCTGGCCGCTACCCCGTGTTCACACCACATGCATGCATGTATCACCTGTTCAAAAACTGCAAAACCAAAAAGGGAAGTTCAGGGCCGTGGGAGAGGCCACCTGTCGATCACATTCTGTGCGGGAGACGGCAGGGCTGGGCCACCTTGGGAAGCTCATGGGGAACCCACAGGCCAGGCAGGTAGCCAGCGGGGTGTTATGGCTAGAAAGAGACAGTTCCAGACTCTTCTCATTCCTCGGCTCAGGAGAAGGGAGCACCTCCTTCACCCCCTTGGGAGTCCCTGCCACTTGGACCCCCGAGTCAGCAGCGTGCCGGCAGCCCCTCCTCCCCGGGGGCCCACCTGCCGCTGAGCTTTAGGAACCGACCCTCCCTGCTCTCCTGGGGCCAGGACATGCCGGGATGTGGCAGGTGCCTGAGGAGCTGCAGGCCCAGGTGGAGGTGTGGGCCGAAGCACAGGGGTGTCTGTCCTAAAGGACCCGCTGCTCCTGCTGGGCTCAGCCAAGTGCCACAGCGCTCCTGAGACTTGGAAGTGCCGCCGCCTTCCCTTCCCCACCTTCCCCTCCAGATCCCAGCTCCTCGCCATAGCAGCCTGGCTCAGGTGGGGCCTTCCAGGTGACTCCCTGGGCACTGCGGTCTGCGTCCATGGACTGAGCGGTGTCCTGCCGCAGCTCAGGGAGCAGTGGCCCACGTCCCCCGTGGCAGAGCCTGTAGGAGTCCGGGAGCCACACCGAGCAAACTTTGGAAGAGAGGTCACAGCACTCTACTGCGCACTGCGCAGAATCGCTGGGCCGTCAGATGAGGTTATGGATGCAGAGGCCCCTGGGGACTGGTGCATGGGAGTGACCCTCTTGTGGACCGGAGTCACAGGGAGCTCTTGGGCAGGCCGTTCTGAAGGGCACTGGCCAGGAGCTTGCTCCACGAAGGCCAGCTGCCCGTTCCCGGGTTCCTTCTGCGCTGGCTCCTTCCTGGTCCCAGTCCCTGTCCCTCTGCCTTTTGTGGCCCCTGGCAGTGGCCTCCCCCCCCCCCCCGCCTTCTTCCCACGTGTAGCTTGCCCTCGGGGCAGCCCCATGCTTGGGAATAGCACTGGGGTCCCTGGGGCATGCTCTGGGCTGCCTCTCCCACCTCTCCCCGCCCTGCTCGCCCCCACCGCCCCCAGGCTTGCCCGCCCCTCTCGGCCCTGGGAGCCCTCCTGCCTGGTCAGGCGTGGCTGCTCTCCGTCCGCACTGGCCACTGTCTGTCCTGTGAGGACAAGTCAGCCTGCCTTTGTGGCTGCCCGTGCTCTGCCTGGGCTGCTTCCCCCTGGGGCCCTGGAGGTCCCGGCTTGCGCCTCCTCCGAGGCCTGCACAGGGCCCCCGGCGCCTCCCCTGCTGTCCCCGTGCTCTTGTCGCCCTGTGTGGCCTCTACATCACTCTCGAGTCAGCTCCTGCCCCTGCCCCTCTGCCACCCGGTCATCTGTAGGCTGTCTCCTCTCCACTGGTCAGCGGGAAAGCAGAGCGGGACAGGGCAGGGGGCCTCGCCACCCCTGCCGCCTTCGCGCACCCCCAGCACCTTTGGGCGCAGTCTCCCAGCCCTCACCGCGCTCTGAAGTGGCTCTTAGCCCGTCCCTGTCTGTGGCAGGGCACGGTGGCATGCTTTTATGTGCATCTAAGCATGTTTATGTCAGCCTCGCGAGTGGTCCCCGCATTGCCTCTGCCGCCTGACTCCCCAGCCAGGGCTTGGCTCACTGCGGACTCCACACAGCAGGTGCACCCGGAGGCAGGTGGTTCTGAGAGCCTGGAGAGAGGAGGGAGTTGCTGCTGGGCCTGTGTCCCTGACGGTCGCACTGTCTCCTGCCCTTGGAGTTGCAAGTCCTTTGAGATGAGCACGCCGAGCACATGTGCTGCCCCGAGCCCTGGGGAGGGACGCACATGCCCCTTCTCCTGAGGCCCTTTTTCTGCCCCCCGCAGGCCCCGCGGGTTCCCGATGGAGAGATTACAGTGCCTTGGCCATCATCATGGCGGGAATTGCATTCGGCTTTCACCAGCTCTACAAGGTAAGTCTGCCCTCCCCACGGCCCCTTTGGCACTCCCCCCGCCCCCGCATTTCCCCCTCCCTGGAGCTTTACCTGAGTGGCAGCTTGGAGCCCCGCCGTGCCATGGTGGGGTGGGCTGTGCATAGAGGCCCAACGTCCTGACAAGCACACTCTCTGGAGATTCAAGTCTGGACTGGTGTGTGAGGCAGGTTCAGGCCCCACCTCACGCGCTGGACTCAGCTTCTCCACAGGGTGCCCGTGGGCTCATTGACCGTAAGCCACGGCTAGTGCTTAGAGCAGCGCCTGGCGCGTGCTGAGCAGTCAGGAATTCGAGGGACGGGATAAGGAGGTTGGGAGGCGCATGGGCGGTGGGACCCAGGTGCCCAGGTTGCATCTCGGCTCTGCCATGTGATAGATGTGTGACTGCAGGCTGCTCAGGGGCCTCGTCTGTAAAAGGGGGACAATAGGACCTACCCCACGAGGCTGTTGTGAAGCTCAAAGGTGCGGCTTTGGGCCACATGGTGGCCCAGCATATTGGAAGTGCTTGTATATACCGTTTTCCTGTCTTGGTATTAAAACCAGCTTTGAGCACCCCAGCATAATCCTATTTGTGGGATCCACGTTTTGGTCTCCTCTGAATTGTGTGGGCATCCGTATAAGTCTGGGGTCTCCCCAGTCTTCAGTCAGCCCTCGGGGCCCGGGGCCGCTGCCCAGCAGACCTGCAGGCGTGCGTGGGCCTCACTCCCTGCGGATGCTGACTGCCCAGTACTGACTGCGATGGAAGTTGCAGGTGCAGAGCCAGGTCGGTCCCCAGACGACTTACTCTCCCGGTTTTGGAGAGAAGCCCCTTTCCTCATGAGGCCATCTGCTATCCCACCCCTTACTTGGAGGGTTTTGTTTTGTTTTGTTTTGTTTTGTTTTTTAAAGACTCTTTATGATCACCCAGGCTCATTGTTGTAACTTTCAGCACGTGAAACATGTTTCAACGTTGCACTCTCTGGGATTCTTAATTTTTGACTTAGTACCAAAGCTGACAAAAGAGTTGTAGCAGAGGATGTTTTCTTCAGGGTAACGTCTCTTCTTGGAGTTGGGAATTCCCGTGTCAGAAATGCAGAAGCAAAACGCTCCATGTCCTGGGCTGCCTGCTTCGGGCCAGTGCCCCCCTTACCTTGTGTGCCGGAAGCTTCTTTCCCATCGCTGACCGGAGCCGTCACCAGGACGAGCCAGGCGCAGGAATGAGTGTCCAGGCTGCACTCCGCGTGGCTGTCCGTGGGCGGCCGGGGGTCCGGCGGGAATGGGGAGCAGGGTCAGCTGCTTTCAGGAAGCTCTGGTCTCTCCTCTCCGTTTTAAAAAAGAGACACCGAGAGATCGGTGACAGTGGTGGCCAGAGGCTTTCTAAAGCATCTGCTAATAGTTTCTTTAAATTCGAGGAAAGGGAGGAGTGCGCTGTCATCCTGTTTTGTAAATATGTGAACATTTAGGCTGGGGCAGCGTGTGTCCCTGCCCTTGGCATTTCTGGTCTCAGAAGTATAATTTTTAGTTTGTTTCATGTATGAGAATTTCTTGACTTTCATACTTAGGAAATTTTCAACCTGGCACGTAAGGGAACATTTGATGAGTTTCAGCTCAGTTGTTGTGATAACTCACACGGTGGTTGAAAAGCACTTTGCAAAATAGAAAATGCTTCTGTGCGTGTGCTAAGTAATGAGCTCCACTGAGGAGCTGCGCTGGAGCTGCGTCCTCCTGCAAACCCCTGCGGAGACCGCCCTCCCCTCCTCTGTCAGAGCCCTTAATGGGGAAGTTGCTCTGTCGTCCTGTCTGGGATGAGAACCGAAGTCCTCGGTCACGCAGCCAGTTCCCCCACCGCCAGGCTGCACGGTGCTCCCTGGTGCTGCCATTAGCGCGGGTAGCTGGTGTCATGCCCGGCAACAGGAGGACGCCTGGCCCCCAGCATTTGGACTTCAGAGTGCACGTCCTTTCATCCCGGCAGCCACCCGCTGCCTGCCTGCCGCGGCCTCGCACCTCAGAACGGGCAGCAGTGACCAGCCCTGCCCCGCCTGCCTTCTTCCCGAATGTCCCGGGACCTGGTCCTCCAGTCTGGGGGCCTGCATTCGGGGCCCCACCCTATTGCCCGCTTCCCCCAACGTCAGTCAGTGTCTTCAGATTGTGCCCCTGTCCCTCCCGCTCCCAGGTCTCAGCTCTGGGGGCATTTGGCCGCCTTGTTCCTGAAGGAAGTTTGTGCTGAGGGTTCAAGGCCCGGTTTAGAAAAAGCTGAGGTGACCTCTTCCAATGGCCTGGGAATGTCCGTCCCTGTATTTTCCCCTAGTGAAAGAACCAGAGGTCCCAGAAACCCGCTGTGGATGCCCTCTGGTTTCTCAAGTAAATTCCTTATTTACTTAACTCTCCTCGTTTGTTTCTGAATGGTTAGTTCATCCATAGGGTTCAAAGTGTTAGAGGCTCAGAAAAGCGGAAAAAGCTGCGTCCCCACGCGCCGCCCCCCCCAGGCCACCAGCAGTGTCACTTTCTTGTGTAACCTTTTATGTTGTTCCTATCTTACAAACTTTTAAAGTAGACTCTTAAATACTTTTGTTACAGAAATAGTATCTGTAACACCATTAAGAAAACTAAATAAAAGAACCAAAAAGTTTTTCATAAGAATAAATCAAATGGAATTTACTCATCCCTGTTCCCTGGTCCTTGTCCTTATTCAGACAGAGTTTTTACGTGGTTGGAATCACAGTCTCATAACTTTTGAATATCTTGCTCATTTATGGTGTTTGCTTAGAAAGTTTGCAAGACCTGGGGGTGACAGAAAGTTGGTCTGCAGAATGAGAGATTGTTGGACAATAACCCGAATGTGCACCCATCCCTCCTGCCCGCCCTGCCCTTGTAGAAGTACCTGCTCCCCCTCATCGCGGGCGGCCGGGAGGACAGGAAGCAACTGGAGAGGATGGAGGCGAGCCTCTCGGAGCTGAGCGGCAGCGTGGCACAGACAGGTAAAGATTAATGACTCCATCAAGCCGCCCCTCAAAGCCTCCCAGAGCAGCCCCTTCCCTGCCCCTCCCTCTCCCCTCGTCTCCACTTTATGTGGTGACTTCATTTATCTGCTCGGAGAATCTGTTCACATTTGCAAATGAAGCCGCCGTCATTTCGGTTTAATTTGAAATTGCTTGTTTACTGTCGGCACGGCCTCAATTAATTATGTTTTTACGGAAAGGCTCCCAACCTCAGAATATTAATAAGGGGAATAAAATGACAGCCTTTCTAAGGGCCGTAAAGTTCATTTTTAATTTCTGCTTCTATGAGGTTTTCAGGGGGGTTTTTGGTGATTTTCCCCCTTCCCTCTAAGAACCCATTGCCGGGTCAAGAGAGGCTGTAATTACTGTGGCTCCCAGGACCCCGGCCACCTCCTCTGTCATCGACTCCACGGGGCTCGCGCTCATCGCCGGAGCCCCCATGACGGCCTAGGTTAGCTGGGACCTGTCGCGCCCCGGGTGGCTTTTCTCCTTGATAAACTTGTTTACTGGGTGGAGGCCCTGAGTCTAAAAACTCAGGCACGTGTGAGAGCCGCTGTCCCAGGCAGCCCTCGCAGAGCCTCCGGCATGGTGGCCCCAAGGCCCCCAACCGCGAGGCCCCGCACCTCGAGGTTGGGTGGGGAGGGCAGGCAGGAGCAGCAGGCCCCGGGATTGGCAGTTCCTGACCCCTCCTGGAGGGTGTGGGGCCAGAGACGCGTCTGTCCCAGGCCTGGAGACTTTGCACGTGCTCTGCAAGGACACGAGGGGGTTGGTGGGAGGGGAAGAGGGGCGCAGACATCCCAGAAGCCAGAGAGCCGAGCGGACCGTTAGCAGATGTCATTAGAAGGGAGAGGTTTTGGATGGATGCGCTGGTGACCACGGACAGCAACACGGTGGAAATACAGAGTAGAGAGGCGGGAGGGTGGACGTGGCGCAGGCAGGCTCCCAGTGTGCAGGTGGACAGTCAGGGGCGGGGCTGGGGGTGTCTGTGGAGAGATCAGATGCTACAGCTTGAGGTACATGGGTGCCCCAAGAAGAAAAATCTGTGTGTGTAACAGAGACTCTCTGCTCTCCTCTCCCAGTGACTCAGTTACAGGGGACACTCGCCTCCGTCCAGGAGCTGCTGATTCAGCAGCAGCAGAAAGTCCAGGAGCTTGCCCATGAACTGGCCACAGCCAAGGTACGGGTCCCCAGCCCCGCCCACTCTCTCTGGGGCGGCTCCTTGCTCTGGTCCTTCCTTTCCGGTTCACCACGTCCCATGGGTCTGGCTGGTGTCTCCCCACGTTGGTTACAGGACAGGGCCACGCTGCCCTTGCGGAGAAAAGAGGCTTCAGCCATGGAGGCCGTCCTGTCTCCATGTCGCCTGCCAGCGGGAGAGAGGAGAAGCCACGCTCTGCCTGGGGCCCTCCCGTGGGAGCCTGTGCCCCAGGTCTGGAGGCGGATGGTGTGGACACAGAATGGCCTCCACCTGCAAGTCAGGTCACAGGTCACAGTTGCCAAGAGAGCCTGGGGGTGGGGGCGGAGGCAGTGCCAGGTACTTGGGCCAAACTCTGCGGCAACGCCCACAGCCCAGGACGAGTAGCCCCTAGCAGATCTGGTGCCCCCTGATGTTGGGGAGCGGTTGCCATGGCTCCCTTCTGAAACCGAAGGTGTCTTAGTCGAGTCAGACCTGGGATCAGACTGCCTGGGGGAGCACACAGGCCAGCGGCACGAGCGGCGTGAGGCCAGCTCACGTGGCTGGCCTCTGTGCAGGCAAGCTCCTCCGCCTCTCTGGCCGTGGTTCCCTCATCTGTGGAACGGAGCCGGAACGGTGCCTCCTTCACTGGTTTCGCATGCTTAGAACCGTGCCCGGAGTCGCGGGTGCAGGCCTGGCTTCTGTGGGTGTGCGTCAAGGCCATTCCTGAGGCCCGCTCTCAGGCAGAGGGGCCAGGTGACAGTGGTCCAGTGACTCCAGGATGTCCGCTGTCCTCCCTGCTCCACCCTGTCTCCCACCACCAGGTGTTGGAAAGGACCCGCTCTGCACGGCTCTCCCGGGAGGCCTTGCCCCAGTGCACAGCTAGATGTGAGCCTGTGCTCAACTCTTGGGCATTTGCAAAACCCCAGCAAAATGGGAACCTTTCTGTTTCCCATGGAATCTGCGGTGCCTCCTGTGAAGGGGGTCCTCGAGCTCCCCTCCTCAGATACCCCCACACGGAGGGGTGGCCTGCACATCCTCCGCAGGCGGTGCGAGTGCCTGGAGGCCCCCTCCAGCCACCGCCTGCGCACCCAGAAGCCAGCGGTGGCCCCGCCCCACACTCTTCTATTATCTTTTGGAGCGGTGGCCTGCTAATGGCCAGAAGCCATTCCGGAAATTGGAAAACTGTTTTCAGACCTTCCCCATTAAGATTGAGACCACATGTTGCGCTTTAAGAGGGGAGGGGGCCAGGATGGTGCTGGTGGCTGAGAGCCGCTGGCTCCCCACGCTGGTGTTCCGACGGCCCCGCCCAGCCCGGCCCCTGTCGCTCCTCCGCGGCAGTGGGAGAGGCTCGGGCTCGCTGGTTTGCTTCCTTGCCCCGCACATGTGAGGCTGGCCACCCCATAAACCGAAGACTCGGAGCCGTGTTTTCTCAGCTGTAATATAAGTTTTTATGTCTGGCTTCCAAGCTCCTACTGCAGCACTGTAAAAAATTAAAAAGAAGAGCATTAAGTAATTAAAAAAACCTACATAAAACTGAAGGCTGGGAGTTTTCTACAACTGTTTTTTAAAGAGACTGGCTAAAAAGCCCCAGATGTCAGATTTTATTTCTAAATCCTGGCATCTGGCACCATATGCGTTTGGAAATTTGAGTCCTTTGTAGGCCGGTGAGTGGCAATTGCTCCCTTGTTAATGGGCTGCTACAGCTTTCAAGGTTTCGGAGAAGCCAGAACAGCGGCTCCCGGGTCTGTGCTGTCTGGTGGTCTGGCGCGGGGCCCTGGGGGTGCGCAGGCGGTGGGTGTCGGCACGCGGCTCTGGCGCTGCCTGCCTGGCCTCTCCTTCCCAAGCCCTGCGGACCCTCAGAGGGGCTTCCCCTGCAAAGGCGTGCCGGGCGCCGTCAGCCCCTACCGCAGGTCAGAGGCCTGAAGCAGGTTGGCAGGAAGGCCGGGGTTCCCTCTGCGCTCCTTGCCTGGTCCCCCGCCCCCCACCCCACCACATCCTCCTGCACTTACTGCTGGGGCTTTATCTGGCCAGGGAGGCATTGTCAGGGAAGCAAGGACCTTGCACACTTGGTCTGTGCACTGGAAGCCACCTGGAAGTGGCCTCCGGCCTGGATGATGCAGGCCCACCCACCTGAGGCCGCTGCACGTGGCCCTGGCCCATAAACACTTCATGCTTCCTAGGCAGCTTGGCCACTGGCAGCTGCCATGTGGGGGACCGCCAGTTTCCGTGTCCCCATCCATCCCCGCGAGGTTTGCTGAGAAAGGCGGCTCTCTGAAGTTTATACTGGAGCCGCCCACCTGGAGGGGAAGGGCGGGCACATGGAAAGGCAGGCGTGTGGGTGGTTGTGGTGGTACTCTCTTCCGTGGGTCCTCCTTGGGGGAGGGATGGAAGCTCTAGGACGGCTTCCTTGCTGAGCCTCCCAGAAGAACGGCTGTGGGCCGGCGGCCTGGGCACAGACAACGGGCACAGTTCAGGGCCTGACCACACAGAGCTGGGGCTGCGGCCTCCGAGCAGCGCGGGGAAGGGCCCTCTGGGCGAGGCCTGTCTGCTGGGCCTGCCAGAGGTTGAGCTGGGGGAGCGGGCGGGGGGCTTGAATGCAGTCCTGGCACCTGCGGGGGCCGGGGGAGGCTGCCCGCCTCAGCCCCCGGGTTCTCTTCTGCGAGTGGTGTGAGGCTCTGCAGGGAGAGGGACTAGATGGAGGGTGTCGTGGGTGTGGAGGTGGACGTTTATTTATTTTACTGGAACATTTCAAACATGATGGAGGGGCCGCCCGGCAGCGCAGGCCCCCACAGCCGCAGCTGCCATGCTAGCCGGCCCTGCCTCGTCGCTGCGCCCCCGCGCGCCTCCGCTCACACCGCAGACATGCCGGCTTGTATCTCTGAACGATATGGGCTCTCTTGTTGTTGTGTCCTTTGATTTTACGTAACCACAACACCATCGTCACACCTAAACACACGTCGTGATGCCTTAGTCTTGTCAGGTAAGCCGAGCAGTCAGAGCTGTGGGGGTGTTTGTCGTTTAAACAGAGTCCCAGGCAGGCAGACTTCCCAAGGTGTCGCAAGGCTGGCACCCAGGACACCAGTGACCCGGCTGTGCCGCCAGGCCCCTGCAGCCCGGCCCTCCTGCTGCCCCAGGGCCCTGTGGGCGGGAAGAGGGGACAGGCCCCCCTGATCCCTGTGTCCCTGTGTTTCAATTTTCAGGCCACCACATCCACCAACTGGATCCTGGAGTCCCAGAACATCAATGAGCTCAAGTCGGAAATCAGCTCCCTGAAAGGGCTTCTGTTGAACCGGTAGGTGCCCAGAGGCAGGGCTGCTTCTCCGCTCTCAGCCGGGGGCTGAGCGGGGCCTGTGGCCTGACCTGCTGGGGTGGGGGCGGGGGTCAGGGCACACTGCCCCAGGGACCCTGGCGGAGCTGTGGGGTGCAAGCAGTGAGTTTGGGAGTCTTTGAGCTTCTCCTTTCTCTCCCCAGTGGGCCCCCTCCCTTCCCTGGCCAGGGTGACAGCCTTCAGCGCCCACAGCAGTGTTTGAAATACACGGAGTTCCTCAGCCCTGTCAGGACCTGGTCGAGGGGAATAGGGCCCTGAGCAGAGAACTGGAGGGGGGAATCCCATCCCCTCCAGACTGGGCCACCTCCTCCTCCATCCCGAGCCCCAGCTGGACCGCTCAGGGACAGCTTGGTCCCAGAGGAGGTCCCCCCAGAGGGCCAGGGTTCCTTCATTTGTAGGTCCTACAATTCAAGATGGGCAGAAGCGTGCCCCTCCCTGACTGAGGTCTGCCGCCCGCGCAGCCCTGCGTGGCTCGCCTGGGACTGGCTGGTTTTAAAAGTGAAAGTCTTGTGTCCTGGGACGCAGGTCCGTTGGTCACCTGACCCGCAGGGCACCCGGGTCGGCCTTCGTGCCACTCCCGTTGGGCTGCAGGCCAGGGGTTTAGTGGGGCCGTGTGAGGTGGGGCAGAGGGTCACTCAGGTCAAGGACGGGGCTCCAGCCAGAGGACCCATCTCTCAGGCTGTTCCTTTCAGACCCTCTCGGAGGAGAGCGCCGGCCTTGAGAGGCGTGGCTGCCCTTGGGGGTGGTCACGAGGGACGCCCATGTTTCCCAACTGAGCACACACAAGCACTGAGGCAGGGGATGGAGGGAGAGCAAGCGCTGGCTGAAGATGCTGGGGGACGCCCCGGCCGTGGCCGTGCGCTCACCACACAGTGGGTCCGCGGCGGGAGCGCTGTCCCGGGCTGTGCTGGGAGGTGGGGAGCAGGGGCCTTTGCCCCATTGGCTCAGACAGAGACAGAGAGGGGCCCCCTGTCCCAGAGCTTGAGTTCCGAGCTGTGGCCAAGAGGACCTGACCTCCCAGGTCCCATCTGGGCTTGGCTGTGGTCGGCCGGCTGCTGGCCTGGTGCCTGGGGCCGGGGAACGAGGGTGGGGAACGGGCTTCCCTGTCAGCGGCTTTCTAAGAAAGTGCCCCGGTGCCCTGCTCTGGGTCTGATACCTCGGACCTGGAGTGGCACCCCCTCCCCCGCCTTGCAGAGCTGTAGAAGAGGTAGAGCCGGAGGCCCAGGTCCTTGGGGATCCTGGTTCCCTGGCTCCCCATCCTCGCCTGCCCCTCTCCTGGCACTGCAGGCAGGCAATGTGAGGACCAGGAGGGCGGGGCTCCCGTGCATGGCCGGCCCCCAGTGTGGCTGTCCAGCTGCGGTGAGGGAGGCTCAGGGGGTGCCCTGGGGGGGTGGGCCGGGCGCTCTGCAGGCAGCCTGGGCACCTCTGGCTTGTGTCTCAGCTGCTTCAACCTCCCAGAGGCCCCGCCTCTGTGAGGCCGAGGTGGAAGGAAGCTGAGGGTGGCCAACGGAGCTTGTTCCTGTCCCCTCTTCAGTGGCACTGTCCCGGAGCAGTTGGGATCAGGGCAGGAGGGGGGGTTCCCCTGAGGGTGGGAGCGCCGGGACGAGGTCACGACCCCGCCCCCTTCTCCCCCTGGCCAGGAGGCAGTTCCCACCCTCCCCGTCTGCCCCGAAGATCCCCTCCTGGCAGATCCCAGTCAAGTCGCCCTCGCCCTCCAGCCCGGCGGCGGTGAACCACCACAGCAGCAGTGACATCTCGCCCGTCAGCAACGAGTCGGCGGCGTCCTCGCCCGTGAAGGAGGGCCACAGCCCCGAGGGCTCCACGGCCGCCTACCACCTGCTGGGGCCCCAGGAGGAGGGCGAGGGGGTGGTGGACGTCAAGGGCCAGGTGAGGATGGAGGTGCAGGGCGAGGAGGAGAAGAGGGAGGATGAGGAGGACGAGGATGTGAGCCACGTGGACGAGGAGGACTGCCTGGGGGCACAGAGGGAGGACCGCCGGGGCGGCGACGGGCAGATCAACGAGCAGGTGGAGAAGCTGCGGCGGCCGGAAGGCGCCAGCAACGAGCACGAGCGGCACTAGGCCGGGCCTGGAGGCGCCCCAGCGGGGTGGGAGGGGTGGGGCAGGGCAGCGTGAGGCTGCACGAGGGGTTGCTTTTCCTCCCCTGGCAGCGGCCTCGGCCTTGTTCCCGGTCCGGCCGAGGGCCCGGTCTCCTGGGCTGGAGCCCCGTCCAGGTGAATCTGCGAGTGTCCCAGCTAACCTAACACCGAGCATGACAAGAGGGGGCTCGCACCTGACGCAGGGCCCTCCAAGGCGGAGGAGCTGCGTGACCATGTGTCTGCTGCCCTGCCACCTCCCCTGTCCCATGGCTCCTACTTCGCTTCCTGCCAGGGCCAGGGGCTCTGGCTGTGTCCCCAGGCCCCCAGGGCCTGCCCGCCGGATGCTGCCCTCCGCCTGCCCCAGCCCCACCGCCGTCACCCTCCCACACCCACGAAGTCGCGCCGCACTTCCTCCTGTCACCTGCCTTCGAGGCTCAGCCACCCCCATGGTGGAGGAGGCTGTCACTCCCAAGTGGAAGCCAGGCCCCAGGGCCTTCCTGCCTGTCCTTCCCACCCAGAAACACACGTTCATTTGTGCGATCAGGTACAGGTTCAGAACATAAGATACGACTGTATATAATTGTAATAAAGATGAGTTGTCACTATTTAATCCCTGCTGGTGGCTCCCTGTCTGCTCATGGCGCCCAGGGCCTGGGAGGTGGGTCTGGGCCGAGGCCGGGCCAGGTGAGCTCGGGGAGGACCAGGGGGCGCGGGGCCGGGGCCTGGGCCTGGGCTGGTCTCCCCAGCCGCGCACCCAGAGCCAGGAGGGTTCCGTCCGTCCCCAGCCCCGTGTGCCTGTCGCAGGGCGACACCGATCCGGGAGGAGAAGGGACCTCATGTTACTGTATATAGACCTGATGTGAAGTGCGATGAGCTCTCCTTCCTTAAATGGATGAATGTGCTCCCAGGAGAGAGTGTCTCGCTCACTCTTCCTCCCCCGTCTCCTCTCCTCTCGCCCTCCCTGTCTCCCTTTAACCTTCACACAGTATTTAGCTAAACCCGGGGAAACAGCACGACGTTCCTTCCTGCCGCCCGCAGCGCTGGGGCCGGTGCGGGGACAGCGCAGTCACGTCTGGGGGCCTGGTGTAGACACAAGGGCTCTGGAAGCAGGGCGGACCCCCCACCCCCGCAGCGGGATGTGCCCCTCCGCGGGAGCACTGCGCGGGCTTGCACCTCTGGCCGCCACCGTCTGGCCTGGCCCTGGCAAGGGAGGGGGCCGGGGGCGGCAGGGGGGCTGAGTGACGGGTTGGGGCTATTTTGTCTTAACATTTCGCCCCCTGCTGAGGCCCCTTTTGGGAGCTCTGGGTCCCACCCCTACCCAGGCACCAAGCCCCTTACTGACTGGCCGAGGGCCACCATGGGGGTGTCAGATCCTGGCCACCTGGGCCTCCCACTGACCTGAGAGTCTGCCCGCTGGCCTGGTTCCTCAGGTTTTGTCTTTGGTGCCCACAACCTCATGTGACATCCCTGCAGCCTGTTTCCCTGCCATGAGTCTCCTGGGGACATGCAGAGTCCACATGGAGTCACCTCTGCTTCCCTGCTGTTCCCAAAGAAGCCAGAGTTCTCGGTCCCCTGGGCTACCATCCTGGGGTGGACGAGGACCCTTCGGGGCCCAGGAGCTGCCTGAGGAGCAGACCCCAGAGAGGGAGGCAGAGGGCTGGAGGCTGGTCTGGGGCTCCCCCGACCCCCGGTCCTGAGTGGTGGGCACGGGTCTCCCCCTTTAGCCTGATGACCATTTATCATCATCTAACTTTCCAGAGGTTCATCCTGCACTGGGACCAGACAGGGTGACCAGAAGGCAGGTGGCTTGGGGTGGAAACAGCAGCCAGGAGCCCCCGCAGGCGCCAGAGGCGGCCAGGGGGCCTCGCTGTTCGGGGGCAGGGCTGCAGCTGGGGGTCAGCAGGCCTGTGGGGCCCTGGGGCTCTTGCGGAGGGACCTGGGCCCAAGGCCTTTGGCCCCGCGGGTCCTGAGCACAGACGTTGGCTTTTGAGGACAGAGCGCCTGGCCTGATTTCAGGGAGAAAACACCCCTCCCCAAAACAGCGTGAGTGCTGCCTAATAAAGGCAGCGCTGGACTGAGGGAAACAGCCCTTTGAAAAAAAGCCTTTCATTAGAAAAATAATGCATTTCATCCAAATAAGGTAAAAATATTTGGAATGGGGCAGAAGTGAACAGCAGGCAGCGCCTGTCAGGCCCTTTCTGGACGGGGGAGATGATTATACTCAATTACAATGTATTTTTGTAAAGCGTCTCTCAGGAACGCACTCGCCCCGTGCTGGGAGCTGGGAGGCTGCAGGGCACCCTCCTGGCCCGGGTCCCGCTGCCAGCCCAGTGCTCCTGGGTTTGCGGTGGCCCCAGCCGGCGGGGCACCAGGACGCACCGGGCACGTCCCCAGGCTGGGAAGGGGAGCACACCGCCTGGGGGAGGGGGTGCTGCTCTGCGGTGGATGTGCACGGCAGATGGTTAAAGGAAATAGTAAAAACCCCCATGCACCCTCCATGCAATTTCACGGGCCACAGGTGAGCGTGCAGGTGAGCTTGTGGGCTCGCTCTCTGTCTCTGTTTTTAAATAAAGACGGGAAACTCCTCTTCATGTTGTTTGATTTGCTTGTCTCACTGAAAAGTGAGGCCTGTGTCCTTGGCGACTCACATCAGGTGGGGAGAGGGAGGTTCCCTTCAGGCTCCTCCTGGCCCTTGGTGCCCACCCAGGACACCGTGGTTCTGGTCCTACAGCCTGGGCCCGGGCCTCTCCCCTCCCTGATAACCACCCCTGCCTTGCCCCCGCCCCAGCCCCTGCCCCTACCCCTGCTCTGCCCCCACCCCAGTCCCAGCCCCTGCTCCGCCCCCGCCCCAGCCCCTGCCCCAGCTCCGCCCCTGCCCCGCCCCTGCCCCAGTCCCCGCCCCTGCCCCTGCCCCAGTCCCCGCCCCTGCCCCAGCCCCCGCCCCTGCCCCTGCCCCAGCCCCTGCCCCTGCCCCTGCCCTGCCCCAGCCCCTGCCCCTGCCCCTGCCCCTGCCCCTGCCCCAGCCCCTGCCCCTGCCCCTGCCCCAGCCCCTGCCCCTGCTCCGCCCCCGCCCCTGCCCCTGCTCCGCCCCTGCCCCAGCCCCTGCCCCCGCCCCAGCCCCTGCCCCTGCCCCTGCCCCTGCCCCTGCCCTGCCCCAGTCCCTGCCCCTGCCCCTGCCCCTGCCCCTCCCTGCCCCTGCCCCAGTCCCTGCCCCTGCCCCTGCCCCTGCCCCAGTCCCTGCCCCAGCCCCTGCCCCAGCCCCTGCCCCAGCCCCTGCCCCAGCCCTGCTCCAGAGCCCAAGGATGAAGGGCAGGCAGGAGACGTTTTCTGCAGGCCTGACAACCTTATCCTCAGGAGTTTACTTAATCCTTAGTGTTTCTTGGTCTGTTTGTTTAAAATCGTTTCTGCCAAGGCACCCAGAGAGGAGGCTCAGAGGCTCCAGACAGAGCAAGCGCACAGGTGCCAGTGACACACCACGGGGGCGGGAGGCGCCTCCAGCCGCAGGTGCCTGCTCACCTGGGGGCAGCCTCAGTCCTGGCTGACCCCTCCCTGCCCTGGCCGCCTCTCTGGCCCCTGCTTTTCCTCCTGCCAGGGGCAGTGGCTGGACAGGCGGTGCTGATGTGTGACTGCCACCTTGACGCATGAGCTGCCTCCACCCCTGCCGCACCCCAGCCCCCGCCCTGGGCTCTGTAACAGAGCAGGTTCGAACTCTCCAGCCCTGCTGGGTGCCTTCCACGCGAATCGTGAAGAGTTTACTCTCATGGAGCACTTAGAAGTGTGGCCATTCTAGAAGGAGAGAAAGACTTTATCATTTCATACGGAGGACACCGGACACCTTTCCCCACTCCCTGGCAAGTCCTGAACGGCTTGTCTTTGCAGTTCTCCATACACCTTGGAAACGTGGGCGCCCACTCCCCTTCCCGCAGCCCTGGAGAGTTGTTCCCAGGGGGTCCGCAGTGCCCGGTGCCTCGGAGACCCCAGCGCGGCCACCGGGCCTCAGGGAGGCCCCGACAAAGCCATGGGGCTGGGGAGTTGGGGCAGGGCCTGGGGTTCTTGGAGGGAAGAAAGCTTCCCAAGGCTGGGGGTCTCCCCAGCGACTGGGGTTCGGGTGCGCAGCAGGAGAAGCAGGTGGGTCAGGCTGCTCATTGCAGCCACCCGCTGCCTCCATGCGGGCCGCGGGCCTCCTGCCTGGCCCGTCCCGTGGGGCGGGGTGCCTCCTCTGTCCCAGGTGGCACAGGCCTGGTCCCCAGTCATCCCCAGCAAGAGCCCTGAGACTGCTGCCCTCTCTGCTTTCTGAAGACCTGATGCTGATCATGGGACAGCAGCACTTCGTCCCCCAGCCCGCGTCCTGCTCTCGGGCCCAGGCATCTGAGGGGGTGAAGTGGGTGGGCAAGCTCCCTTTGCCCAGGTCGACTGGGCGTGCTGGCTCCCCAGCCACGGCCCCGGAGGCCCTGGATGGAGCAAGGCTCCCATGATGCCTCAGCCTGAGCCTCTGCAGCTGGGCCTGGCTCTTTCTAAGAGGTTACAAAAGTCCTGAATTTGCCCCAGTTCGGGTGTAGGAGCGCCACAGCTACTTATATCCCAGAATGAAAACATGTTTTACTGCAATTCTTACCGAGTCCAACAAGCCACAGGGAGTGTTACGGGGCTGCGCCAGCTCCGCCCCCCGGGGGGCGGGGCACCGTCCCGGCTGCAGGCCCCTCCCTCCGGGGGGTGAGTGGCACGGGCTGTGGGCACGAGCCCCTGATGGGTGTGGTGGGCACTTCTCATCTGGGGCAGTGCCTGGGAGTCAAGACAGCGGGCCCCGATGTCGGGGCCTGGCCGGCCCTGTGTCTCGCTTGGAAGCTGGCCCTGCCCGTCCCCGTGCGTGGGTCTGACGCGGTCCACCAGGGCCCCGGAGACCTGGGGGCAGCTGAAGTTGGAGCTCCTGGGAGCTGCCCCCCGAAGCCTCTGTGGGCCCTGCCCTACTGCCCCCCGCGCCCCGTGCACCACAGCACCCAGCGGGAGCCCTGCGGTCCCACCGCCCACCCAGCTGAGGCCCGGGCTCAGCTCCCTTCCTCCCCTCGGGCCCCACGGGAGGGCTGCTTGGCCCACCAGGGCCCGAGAAGCTCCAATAATGGTTTTAATTTGTTGAACTTGTGTTTTATCCCATAAATTAGTCACTGTTTTATTTAACAGAATCGAGATATCCACAAACAATAGGCGAGTTCCAACTTGAACATTTTAATAAGACAGAAAAAAGTATATATTTTCGCGTCTGTTACAAACATATTTATGTAAATAGCTTGTGGGCTGCGTTCCAGGAGGAGAGAAGAAAGGGAAGGGCCCTCTGTGCGCGCCAGGCGAGAACGAGCTCCGCGGTGGGGATGGCACCCGGCGGGGCGGGGCGGGGCGGGGCGGGGCGGGGCTCTGAGAGGCCTGAGGGCGAGGCGGCCCTGGCCGAGGTGCCCAGCCCCGGTCCCCTCCTCGGGACGGTGGCGTGGCCATGCCACGTCCAGTGAGATGTCCTCAAAGTGGAGGAAGGCAGCAGCCCCACACACGTCCCCTCCCCGAGGCCCTGGGATGTCTGGGCGCCTGGAAGGAGGTCAGTGCAGGGCAAGGCTGGCGAGA